TATATATATATATATATATATATTGTATTATATATACATGTATATATACATATTTATATATTTATACATATATAGTTAGTTAGTTATATATATATGTATCTATATATATATATTAAAAATATGCGTAACTTTCGTTTGTTAATCTCTGACAACCCTTTTAAAGCAGACGTTCAAATGTCAGACGCACAAAGTACAGGAGAAATACGGCGGTCGGTCCCCAATGCGGGATCAGTGGAGTCAGATCTTGATGAGATGGATGCAGCTGATACGGTATGTTGTGTGGTGTCTGGTTCTTGGCTTACCTACATACTAAAAGGGGTCTAATGTGGTTGTGGGGAGGGCCATCACCAGGGCCTACATTTGGCATCAAGGTAGCAACAAGCGATGCTTTAACCAATGATCAGGGGAAGGCGTCGTTATATGAGGCTTAGTCAGTATGAGATTGTTCACGTGGTTTCAATTGGATCTGTCGTGAGCCTGAATTAGTTGTATTTCTTCACAATAGTATCAATTGGGGTTTATTTGGATCTGTCGTGAGCCTGAATTAATTGTATTTCGTCCCAATAGTATCTATTGGGGTTTATTTGGATCTGTCGTGAGCCTGAATTAATTGTATACCATCTCAATATTCTCAATTGGGGTTTAATTGGGCCTAAAACCTGCTACGCACCCGTAGATTCTAACACGTGTTCCAAAAATATTTTCTATAAATAGAACTCGAATCAACACCCCACAGCGTACACGCCCCCGGAATTCTAAATCGTGTTCTAAAAACATATATTCTATAAATAGAACTCGAATCGACACCCCACAGTATAGACGGATAGTCCTACAAGTATCTTAAATATGTCTCACCCGGATTCACATCGTAAATTTATGTTCTATAAATAGAACTCGATTTCAAATCCCTCTGTCCGATGGCGGCGCTTGCGGTCCGGTGTCACAGTGCCGTCCCGCAATAGCACAGACAGCAATTCCGGGACCAGTAACGGTGTCAACGTGTCAAAAGTTGTCAACAGTGTCAGCAGCGGTGTCAATAGTGTCAACGGTGTCAGTTGGGACTCCTCTGCGAGAAACACGCCGCACTCAGAACCAGGCGACAGTGACTCAGATCTCTCGGTGTGTGTCAAACAGGTGTCAACAGTTCATATGTCATGATACGTAGCAGTGTCAAACAGGTGTCAACAGTTCATATGTCATGATACGTAGCAGTGTCAAACAGGTGTCAACAGTTCATATGTCATGATACGTAGAGTGTCATACTTGTCAGCAGTGCCGGAAGGGAAACCTTAGCCCACCTCGATTCCTCGAGCTAAAACCCGAAACCCTAAACCCCTAAAACCCTATATCCACTACTCAGAATACTCACAAGCATTATTGTATGGCCACAAAGACATGACATTAAACCAATCCGTACGTAAAAACGTATTTGCGCACCGAACTCTTCTGTGTACCATTGAATCATACAAGGAAATCGTTTCTATATACAATATATATATATATATATATTTATAATTACTATATACGGAATGACATCATCGCCTATGGTTAATATTGTTCTTGTTTGTCTCTTTCTGTAGCCCAGAGCTCAACCACGCAGTGCTCCGATTACGAATGCGGCGGTGATCATAGAACCTGTTCTAGTTCTAAGATTCACATTGAGAAAGGTAAGTATATTATATATATATATCTGCTTCTGCATCGTCCAGTGGTGTTTTCAAAATTCTGCCAAGATCTTGACTTTAGTAGCAGGTCTAGCTATGTTTTCACTTTGTTCAATTGCATCGTATACTCATCTGTGTATATATCGATTTCCCTCCGCCAATACTTCCAAATATGGTAATAGGATGATACGTCTGCGGTTTATCAACCATCACAACCGATTCCGCAGAAGAACATTGAACCGAAAAGCAATAAAGGTGTGTTTGCTTTAGGTTTGAACTAATACCTTTGGGACAGTGTGTGTGAATATCGCGCCATTGAAATTAGTTTGAAATTAACGCTATGAAACGAGTGTATGTATATCGTACCATCGAATTAGTTTGAAGTTAACGCCATGAAACGGTGTATGTATATCGTACCATTGAAATTGGTTTGAAATTAACGCTATGAAACGAGTGTATGTGTATCGTACCATCGAATTAGGATGAACTAGTAACATAAGCGTGTTTCTGCATAAATAGCTATATAATAGTGTTGGAATGGCAATAGCAATAAATGTATGTATGAATCAATACCGTAGCCTTCTATGTATTCATATGCGCGCACACAGATATGTTGGGCCTCTGCGTGCACACACACACAGAAGCTTGTACATCTGTAAGCTTGTATACTTCTGTTTACATATAATAATATATACACACACACATACAGATACAATCGAGTCTTAAACATACACACATGCGAGCTTGTGCATACCCTTGTATGTTTTTGTATACACACGGAAAGAGATGAATCTTACTTTTCTGCCCATACCTGGAGACACTTGTATATCTGCTAACGGACATATTCTATTCCTATATGTACACACACATGAGCATGTGTATCTGTATATGCCTACCATTATATATACACCCGCTTAAATACACACACACACACACACAC